GCGCCGGTATGTACCGTATCGGTGGAGTCATGTATGGATTCGGGTTGTTGTGCAGCATTGGGTCCCACCAGAAGTTTTTTGGTCCATAATTAGATTGTTGAGTGAAATTAGGCCTAAATTGTCGGTAGTTTTCATTTCTTCTGAAGTGATTTTGTCGCCGATTTTGGTCTGAGTTTCTCACATTTTGGTCATTAAAGCGACAAAATCTCGAAATATGTCCAACTCTTCGGCAAATATAACACTGTTTTCGTTGATTTTGAGTATTGTTTCGATTATTACTATTAGTGTTATTTTTGTTCACATTTTCATTGATTTTGTTATTGATCTTTAATGCATGTTTTGTTTGCAGAGATTGTAAAACACGAGTCAATCGACGAGAATGTCATTGAATTCAATGATAACGAAGACTTCAGAATAATGACTGAATTAATGATCAATCAGTTGATACCGGAAAAGCGACAAAATCTCGAAATATGTCCAACTCTTCGGCAAATATAACACTGTTTTCGTTGATTTTGAGTATTGTTTCGATTATTACTATTAGTGTTATTTTTGTTCACATTTTCATTGATTTTGTTATTATTAATAGATTTAACCATATTTTCCAATTTATTAAATCTGAGATTAAATCTACTCTCAAGTAATTGAATGTCAGTCAAGGGTTGACTATTACACTTGTCTCCAGAATTGCGAGCACTAGTGTCCAGGTCATTATCAGCACCGGTAATAATTGATGCATTTAATTGTGTGTTATCCAAAGTGGGCGTTAATCCCATAGACTTTTCTACAATTTCCTTCTCAGTCACAACTAAATCAATAATTTCATTGATATAACTCTTGATGTCTTTTTTGGCAACAGCTCCCACTTTGACATCAATTAATTCAAAGATTAAGTTACGCTTTGATTTAATTGAATCAATCAAATCACACACAAAATTTATAACACTTGTATCACCCATGACATGCGCATCCATCCTAATAGTGTTCCTAATAGTAGTACAGAAGCAAAAATTTGTGACTAATTTAATGTTTCAAATTCTGTAACAGTAGTTATCAACGATTGCAATGAACTTTTCAATAATTAAACAAATGTTGAGAGAAACCTGACCTTAGTTTTGTTTAATATCACGTTATGATGAGCCTATTAAATGACTCAAAAGCTTAATTCACTTATGTGCTTAATTATCGAAATTAATTTATCTACAATAAAATTTATTTGTATGCTAACTTATAAACACTGAATTTTAATATCTTACAATACAATAATATAAATATATCTTGTTACAAACAAATGATTTATCTGTAAGATATTACTGTGTTATACAATACAAATTTTCATGTGTTACTTAAAACCTTTATTACAAAAATAACTCAAATACTATGTAATAATATACTCATTGAACTAAATTAATGTATCATTTAGTTAACATAAAACAATTTTATTGTATACAAAATGTAAGAATGTAAGAATTTATTAAACACACAATTTTCTGTTATTAAATTAAGTATAAAACATATAATTTTGTTAAACAATTACTAAAAGAGAACCATTAGAACAACTATAAGATATCATTACTATTATGAGTAGATTTATGTTTAATAATATTTCAAAAGAGTTTTGATGGCTAACTGTTAGTTATATAATTTATATATATTTCACAGTCACGACAAAAATATATTATATTATCATAAATATATCACTAATATTCAATTTATTTTACAATTAAAATTTCCAAAATATTTTAATATAAAGTTCTGATAACTATTTCCAAAATCTAAATACTGTATCAGTAAAAAATTTAATAAATATAAATGTTGACTTTCACTGAACAATTTGGTTGAAAAATTTATTAAAATAATAAACCAATTCCCTATCGATATGGGGATAAGTTATTAAAAAAATATATCAGTATTAGTATTAGAGGGGAGACAGGGGTGAACTGTATTGGAAAACGGTATAATGATATACTGAATATGCGGGGAACTGTATGTTACGGCAAAGCCGGTCAACATTAAGGACTCGGCATTTATTTCCTGTTTAGTAGAGGAGAAATGCAGTCAAAAGTCTTTTGCCTGAAAATGAAAAATCGCAGAAATACTAAACTACTTTATATTATACTGTGGAAAATAAAGAGCCACACGACTGACTACCAGTGCGAGTCATATATTAGACGAGCCGTACATTTAGATCATTGAATAAGTTTTTGTGGAAAAAGAGAATTTTTGCAAAACAAATCTCATAACAAACTATCATTAATCAAAACATTGGTTTTTCGATGGCGAACGAGAGCGCCGGCAGTTCGTAACCATAACAGTGTACAGTAAGTGTATAGCATTTTTAGGAAAAGTATCGGCACTGGAGTTAGCCTTAAGGCAATTGAAATGAAAGGGAATCGAGAATATAATAAGAGAGCAGAGAATATCCATTTGGGCTTTTGATGGCATACGAGACTCGAATAGATAATGCGATTGCGATATGACTGCCACACAAATGGCCTAACAATGAAGATATGAACACTATTATTACTAATTACTGGTGCCGTTCATCAACACACCAAATGAGTCTAAACTATGAGAATTTCGGCCAACAAATTAATTGTCAAACTATTTTTGTGTCAAATCTATATTATACGGTGTATTATGCACAAACTTTTCGTACAATTGTGTGTATCGTATATGTTGTCAAACATAGTCTCGATTTGGATTTGGTTGCAGACAATGGCTTCGAGAGAGAGAGAGAGAGAGAGAGAGAGAGAGAGAGAGAGAGAATAGAGTGTTTAAAATGTTATCGAATTAAATGTGAACCAAACAGATGGTACTGATGTCATAATGACCGCCCTATAGACATAGGTATCGCGAATGGAAAGGACTGTAATTAGCATATGTCTCACGCGATATAACAATAGCAAAGTATGGATNACGCGATATAACAATAGCAAAGTATGGATCAATTCCAGTAATCAATTCCCTGTTCGCCCAATAAATTAATTCATTCAAAGCTAAACATTTATTAAATGCTGTTTTCATTTATTCTTCTCTACTTTCTTTGAAACCCATAAAAAAGTGCACAAAAAAGTTCTGTGCATTCACTACACCGACAGTCAGTCCAATAGTGTTTGAATCGTAAAAATATTATATATTATAATGCATTCATTATATTATTTCCAGAAAATAAAAACAAGATTTATATGAAATAAGAGGAAGAGTTGTGTTGTGTTTCGAAGGGAAGAAATTCTGTAAAAATTTTTCTATTGTTTATAACGAAAAGAAAAGAAATGCATTTTGCATTTGACAGCATTGGGCGCACGCATGGAAACGGGGATGGGATGCATGAAAATTACAACTTTCGCTCTAATATGTAATAAAACATTATTGAGAAAAAATAAAATAAAGTATAAAATAATTTAATATATTATCCATTATTGTAATACTGCTTCTCTAAAAAAATCTTAACGTCTATTGTGTTGTAATAACTTTTGTTCACTCTTTTTAGGGAAACTCAAAAATATACTGTTTTTGGAATAAAAATATTATATAAATGAATAAAGAAATGCATTGAAAGTGAGAAACATAAGAATTGGATGCAAAAATAATAGACGAGAGAGAGAGAGAGAGAGAGAGAGAGAGAGAGAGAGAGAGAGAGAGAGAGAGAGAATTTAGGATGATCATTTCAAAGAAGTAAGTCCTCCCCTCAGATACGAGCAAATCGTCCCTCAAAGGCTTTATATGAGAGCACAATATGATAGAGAGGACCGATTTTTTTGTTATACTTTTACAATATGATGATTTATCTCAGATACTGTAAGTCTTATGTAAAGTTTATGAGAATATTCTGTATGTAATGATAATGAGCTATAATTTAGGCAACAAAGAAATCTGTGAACTAATCCCAACTTTGAAACTTATTAGTGATAAGTTATCACTGAATAAATACTTTCACCATGCATAAAAATCACAAATTTCTAAATTTAGTTTTCAAACATGATTTTCAATTAGACGATCAAGAGAACAGTTTGAATGAAAATTACTTTTATTTGATATCTATATTATTTTTGTGGACATCAATACATTCAGTGCTCTGGGATCTCATTTAATGACCATATGGTGGATAATACACAGCAAAGTGGATCTATTGCTCAGTCAATGCGTTCATAATATCCATGAAATTATTTTTTAGGGATACTATACAGTGGTGGAGAGCAGTAGTCTAAATATATTTAGTTTGTGTCCGCGGTAACCCTGATAGTCTGAACATATTCTATGTATCGCATATCACAAAATTATTGATTTGTATTAAATTTTGAATCATTGAACCGTTTGACGAGTTTGTCGCCAGTTTATCCCTCTATTCAATGTGCACTCGTATTGTACACTCCATACACTCCAATACTATCCCTCTATTTCAGTGCCAAATTCTTTTCTTCCATAGCATTTCAATAACAGACGAATATTTGTCATAATAATCAAAATTGAAGAAACGGGAAAACGAGGAGAGAGAGAGAGAGAGGGAGGGAGAGGGAGAGAGAGAGAGAGAGAGAGCTGTAATAAGTAAACATATAATGTGATGAAACGTGAAAAGACATTATTAGAGAATTAGGAGGAAATTCTGGGAATTTTGACGATTGTATTACTCGTGGGTTACCATCGATTATATCAATCAAATAAAATAATGTTAACTTAAGGAGAACGAGTGGCTGACATCCGATCAAAACAAATAATGTTTATTCACTTATAGTCGACAACCCAACTGTCCACTAATGTATGCATTAATTATGTGATGACTTAATGGTTTGCCATCGACTCATACATCTCCAGGAATATGAGTGTAACGTATACTCGTAGACCAGTTCTTAACAATTTGTTAATTAAGTTTTAAAATCTATATTTATCTACTAATGAAACCCAATTTATGCATAAAAAAGAAAAACATAAATCTTTCAAATCCTTATCTGATTAACATTAATGCATTTTAAATGAAATTTCTTTGCGTATTATTAAAATTAATCATCTTTTTGTATATGAATATAAAATAATAATAACTGTTACGAAGTATTATTAAATTATTTAAATTTAATTTAATACATAACAGTCTTATAGACGATTATAATGCATAATATGAATAAGTAAATATAAAATTACATAAGACTTACTATAAACTCTTAATTCTTTCTCCCTCTTAACCGTTTGAAAACTGGGAGCCTCGGCGCTCACCTACAAAAGTTATAAACAATTTTTATTAAGAAATTCAAGTCAAGTTTTTTAGAAATTAATAATTTTCTTCATTAAATTAGTGGTAGTCATTGAAATTGCATTATACTTCGCATCGATAGGTGCCATCGGTGTGTAGATCAGTCATCGAAAGGAATACATTTCCAAAACTCGATTTCGTTAACTATAAACAAAAAATATATTGTATAAGAAAATGAGAAAAACCTATTTTCATACATTACTTATAATCCTATTTTCAAATTTGGTTTTATATTTTCATGCATAGGGTATATAATATAAAAGTACAATATATTCAGAATGGAGTGAATAATAAAGTATTTCTCTCTCATGTGATGCTGGCTTTGACTTTAATAACATTATGCATAAAGTGATGTCTATTACATAATATAGAGTTTTAGAGAAAAACAGTTGGAAACAGTCAGTCAATCGCTACACATATACAGACATACAGGTAAAATATGGGGTCAAATGTTAGGCATTGTAAAGTGATTACTGTATATGTGCAAAATATGCCACAATAATATGCAATCTCATGCATACAACGACTAATAATCTCTCTTTTTGTGTCTCCCCTCTCAGCTATGACTTCATGGAAAGTGTTATTTGTGGAAAGTTAGGTGAGGCTAAAAACAATACAAGTGCTTTAAAAGCAAAATTTTTGAATGTTTTTATCCATATATATATTTTTTGATATACTGTTCACGTTTTGCGGAATAAATATAACATATGATCCCAGACTTGTACTCTACTTGTATATCAACATGTTTTGCGGCTAATAATCGTGAACACAATGACTCCATAGGAATTCAAGCGCCTATAGTTCCCACTAAACAAAAGTGTAAAACTCTCAGAAAAAAAGGTGAACACATATCATACACCACATAAATGTTAATAATAGAAAATTTTATTGTTATATAAATGAATGCAATTTCCATTAAAATATCTGGAAAACAAATTAACGTCAAAACAAATGTATGCATTCAGTGACGGATTCATACAAAACAAATACTACTCATAAATATAAGTCAACTTAACTTTCCATTTATTCAATGAATAGGTTTTTGCACTCAATTATGACATCAAATTGTATTTTGAGTTCTCTTTTATTTCCTCAATAATAACCCTTTTTTTATAATGAATTTTTTTAATTAATAATTAATAAGAAATGGAAATTAGTTCATTAAATATTCTGCTCGTAATTTAGAAAAAAATTGTTTTTTTAATTAGAAAATTAGAAATGAATGCAATAAAAGAAATTGCACAAAATTAAAACTACATTAAATTGAATTGTATTGACCATAAAATTGTGTAAGAATTGAAACAATTGAAACATTAAAACGAATGAAAAGTAATTTAAAGTGAAATTCCTCATAAATTAATGGTTTGTCAAACATTTATACGAAAGAATCAATTAATAAAAAGATGAAAAAATAAAACCAAGAAAAAAGTACAATTAAATTAAATACGAGTTTTGTTGACTTTCTAACACAATGTTACTTAGTCCATAAATAATTTGGATTTTTTCTAACTTTAAGACTACTTTTTCCAGACTTATATGTCTATAGTAAAGATCTAATCAATTATTTTATTGCTGTCCGACTTATGCCTAAAAATCAAAGAAGTGAATCATCAGAAGATAAATCATTGAATGAGAGAATGAATGAACGAATGTGTGTTTGAGAGAAATGAATAGTCACGCGATTATAATACATGAAAAATGCATTCAATTTGTATGAACCGAACGAATCATTAAAAAAGTTCGTTCGAGTGAATGAATTAAAGAAAACTTTTGCCAAATGGTTATCAATGAGTTTGCAATGAATGCATTGCAACCCATCAATGAGTGAATTACTTTGTGTGAGTGAGTGAGAGAGAGAGAGAGAGAGAGAGACTGTCTTATGTCCAATTCTTACATTAAGTTGGGTTATGTGTTGACCAATAAATGAAATATTTAATGTAATCTATTATTTCTGATAAACAAGTGAATAATCCATTGCCTATTAGCCATACTCTACTGCTAATAAATTATCTATATTTGGAAATTAAATCAAATATATTGTACTTTTACCGAAAGGTAGGATAAGGGTTTGTAAAATTTAATATAAGAAATTGATTTGAATTACATATAATCTCTAAATAATGATTTTACTGCAACTCATATATAAGACAATTTAATGTGTTTTTGGATGGAAAAATATGAGTTATAGCGACCATAAACAACAAGTTTAACACAAATTTTAGGATTAAACTCAATGATAAAACACAATAAAGTCATCCAGTATTTAATTAATACGGGTGTTGAGTACCAGATAATAGATATTATTTTATTTACAATTAGTTTTAAATAGCAAGTTTTGAAGCCACAATAAATTTAGGGAAATTTTCAAACAAGACTTACGTCGAGATGTATTCCTCTGGACTCATACTTCTGTCCGGGAGGCATGTCTTTGGGAACCCATCGGTAGAATTCTCCGTTAGAGTTATACCACTTAATAGAGTAGAGCTCGTCGTTCTCCAACTCATACGAGCAGTTCAGCCAAACTGGGTCTCCCATTATGACAGATGAGGGCACATCCACTCGAGTCAGTCTTAAGGCTAATACACCTGCAAATTAAATAAGACTTATCAGATTTCTGTTAACTATCCATTTGTGCTTATATTTCATTTTGTCAAATTATAACCGCAGAATATTTTATCTAATTTTTCATATAAAATATTTTTTACTTCATTAGCTAATAATTCACTTAAATTAACCAAACTTTCGATTATAAAGAATTTAATGATTAAAAATCAGTCTTTTAGACTATAAAAATATATATGTACTCAATACTACAGTGTAATGTTCCACACAGAGTATTGTATATTCAAATAGTGTATATCAAACATAATACAGTAATATAATGGAATCATATAAATAATGAAAACCTATTACTAAAAGCAAATTAGAAATTAATGACTTATTTGCTCATTTGATTGTATATTTGCAAAAATATTAAATGCATTTCTATGCAAAAATGTTTGCAAAACGATGTCAAGAGCGAGAGGCTGTTGACTAATAAATACATAAATGAATTGTAAAATAAATTTTGATTTTATTTATTTATTCAAAATAAGTTGTAATTCATAGCGAATGAGAAAAACAAATACAGTTATAAAGAGTGGGCTTTCAATGAGTTTTGTATACGAGTTGAGGCGCACAATGAGAAGAGTCTTCTGGGACTGACTCTGAAAACTAAACACATGGAGAATATGGACAGTCGTGTTGGCAAAGAGATGAACGGATGAATTATAAACGAAGGTTTGCTCTCCTTTTCTGGTAATGTTAATGAATAGATAGAGAATAGAGTTGACTATAGTTATGGTGTACTGAAAGGCAAATACGCTTTGGTTGTGATGCGTTTGAAATGAATTGACAGAATGCACACCATATAAGAGAGTTATGTTTGTTTATAAGTGTATGAGTGAGTGCATGGAATTAAGAGAGAGAGAGAGAGAGAGAGAGAGAGAGAAGTTTTGATGCAAGTCGTCCGCATCAGAGAGCAAACTAAATGGTGTGTTGCGTGACTTGTCTACTCTTAGATCACATCATCTTAAATGCAAGCATCCTCTACCACTACCATTGCTCCCTTGCTCTCTCTCTCTCTCTCTCTCTCTCTCTCTCTCTCTGTAGTAATCTGTATTTTAAATATACTTTTTTATATTACGAGTATAGTCTTTTCTATTGATTCACATTAAAAAGACTTTTAATGGTTTTCATAAAAAGATATATAATTTTGTTCGTCTCTCGTCTTACTATGACTTTGACTATCATTTAAAGTAATTAGCTTTGGATAAGAATATTAGGGAATAATGTGAACAAAGCTATTGTATTACTATTATATGAATAAACTTTATATTCATTACAAACTATAAGTTATTATAATGTCTTAAATGACAAAAAGGCGTACATTTGTGTTAAAGTTATTCATATTTTTGGCTCAAAAAAACTAAAAACTAAACAATGAATGAGACATTCATTGGAAACAAAGTCTGAAACAGTAATTCAGAAGTGATATAACAGCTGAACAAATAGATTAAGATAATGTTTGGCTACCATTGCTTGTGTTTGGAGTAGTTCTTGTCATTCTTGCAATTATTGCATAGTTTGCATCCCTGTATCCCTGTATCCCTGTTCCTAATGTGGCCCACAATTGGGTCGTATGTTTTGGTATTGCTTTATATACGACAACATATAGAATACAATATATACAATAGATTTGGGCCTAACTTTGACTACAGTATCAAACATTAGCTGAGAGATCATTATCATTATCAGCGTATTATTGCTGGAGGCCAGCAGAGCATTGGACGTGAGGCCAGTCACTGGCAGTCAGTCGGCGCTCCACTTATATTAACAACAAGTACTGAACACATGGAGGAGAGAGAGAGAGAGAGAGAGAGAGAGAGAGAGAGACCAAAGGCAACCATAAGAGTTGAATGATGGTGTGATTGCAGGCATGAGAGCACTGTTTAATTAGAAACCCAATAACAATATTACAATATTATGTCAATTCTTTGCAGTGAATAAATTTTCTGAGAAATCCTTTTCATGAAACCATAGCTGAGATGAGAGGGAGAGTGGAGAATAACCACTGATTATTCACAACAGACCCTAAATTAACAATTTGATCGCTAATTCTTTTTTATTGAATAACAAAAGCTTTTGTTAACTGATCCGAACACTAATGACTATCACATCCTTTAAATGACTTCTTATTTATCTTATTTTAAAATAAGTGCATTTCCTCTGATTGTGGGACAACAGCAAAGTTTTGCTCAAAGACTCGAAGATAAGGGAAAAAAATTTGTGAAAATTGATTATTTGGCAGAAATAATGAAAAATGGAGACTAAGAGGTATATAAACAATAAATGTGTTCACTATATCTCGATTGTATTACTAGAGGATTAAAATAACAACTTTTGCTCCGATAGCAGTTTGGGAGCTCAAACTATTGTACAATAAAGTAGACTCTACTCCAGTGTCAGAGCACTGGTAGTACTGACTGACGAGTTGCCAACTCTAGTCTGTTTCGGAAAAGATGGTCATTGAGTGGTGGGTATGAGTCATACATCATGGGTTCAAAGCCCAAGAGTAGATCCATCCAAATGTGATGCAAAAGATATAACGAAATTATATATTGAGCCAAAAACACACGAGCCATGGCTTTGACGTGTAGTGAAAGCGCCGTTAGTTTGGAGTAACACGTAATGTAGTAGTGATAGCATTGTATGCATTGATGGGGCCATTGAATGAATGGCTCAAAGCTTGCCATCACTCACCCCACTCTCACTCAGACTGACTGACCAGTGATGTTGTGCTGGCTTTACAGCAATTAGTTGCTAAACATATAGCGTCTCGGCTTAACATTTGCGAGAAGGTATTCACTCTATTATTACACACTATATCTGACTTAACATTAGGCAGTGCTAAGAGTGATGCAAACGTCACTCCATCCCTCCATAAGCTATACTCCGACTACTCATAAGCCGTTTACTATTCGGTCATTTAGTTTTGGGATATCGTTTAATCGTCATAATAAGCACCACTTAAGTGAATGCCAGCACTGGTAGCACTACTCTGTACGATTGCCTCTAAGATTGTGCATTATATCACTCATTTCATTATAATTATAGTCCGAGAGTATAATTATTTCGTTATTATCTAAATATTAAAACATTACTCAAATCTCCTATTCATCACTACTTTTCAGTGGAAGTGTGTTTGCTTTCAGAGGCAATGGTCTGATGGTGTGTCTGTCCGGCACAGGAAATGCCATTAGTTTCAAATGAATCACAAATTATCTCAACACCAGATCGCATGTATCCTCTCTTTATAATACACTCTGTGACTGTCTTTTGATAGAGTTTTATCTAATAAAACAATATATCAAAAGAAAGGGATATTAAAAAGCAATTGCAAAGAAAGTGAAAGTGGTTTGAGTTGTGAGCTGTTGGCTTAGTTGCCTACAGTATGGTTAGGGAGGGCTGTCCTAAACTGGCGTCAGATGCTTTGGTGCATCTGTTCATCGGTTCCATCCATCAGTTCATCATCTGTTCCCTTCCGCTGCCAATCGACAGCACAACACAAAACACAATCAAAGTCTGAAACCCCCGACAGTTAACCTGAAAATTCATAGCTATCTGTGCGATCTGTTTGTGCGGACAATGAATATAATATTGGATTTGGAGTTTACAGTCAAACTGCTGTCAAGGGTTTCAATTGAAAAGTATAGAACAAAAACACATAAAATGCAAAAGCGTTTATGCATTCATACGAGTCATTCATATATAAAACTTCACTAATAGTTATCGAGTTTACAAAAGACTGTTAAGTCTATTACTTGCTCTGCTCTAACCGTAACTATTAACACATCTTTTGCCTCGCATTTAACATTTGAAACATTTTAAACACCAACTAATACCACATAAAATTGATTGAAAACTTGTAGGCTATATAATGGTTGGCGAAGACCTCTGCATGACATTTGCTATTCATTTAGTATTCAAATCGTTGTATTAAAATACGGTATAATGTTATAAAAGACGACAAAAATGTCATTTGAATAACAATAGATGTTTTAATACATTATAAAACTTAATATATTTTTCACTCAAGTATATTATCAAACCCCTGTGTAACAGCAAGTAATGCACTCATCGACTATTAAACAAAAATGTTTAACAAAATAGATGTTTGATTAACAGAACATTTCAAATATTTATTATTGAAACAAATTTCATTGAGTAGAGGAAATCAACAAAAGTTTTTTGTGTTAACAAATTTGAAGACTATTAAACAAAAATGTTTAACAAAATAGATGTTTGATTAACAGAACATTTCAAATATTTATTATTGAAACAAATTTCATTGAGTAGAGGAAATCAACAAAAGTTTTTTGTGTTAACAAATTTGACGAAATATTTTTAAAAAATAGTAATAATATTAACATAAAATTAGAGTTAATTCAATTATATGAATGTTTAGTAATTTTGTTGTATGGGAAAAGTTTTTTAAAAATAAACAGCCTTTGATCAAAGTTGCAGATAATATGTATTCATGGTTATTCATAAATTGTTACACAAAACTGTCGGTGAGTAGAGGGAGGACTGCAATTGTGAATTAAAAAAAATGCATTTAAAAAATACAATTAAAACCAGAAAAATAGCAAAAGATATGGAGAGAGACCGCGGATTGTAATCGATTGTGACGTTCGGACTTCATTTCTAATGGTTTTATTTATAGCTATGAATAGTCACGCGATTATAATACATGAAAAATGCATTCAATTTGTATGAACCGAACGAATCATTAAAAAAGTTCGTTCGAGTGAATGAATTAAAGAAAACTTTTGCCAAATGGTTATCAATGAGT